CTTTTTTTTTTCTTTCTTTCTTTTTTTCATTTTTCTTTCTTTTTCTTTTTTTTGTTCTTTCTTTTTGTTTGTTTTTCGTTTTCTTTCTTTCTTCTTTTTTTTTTTCTTTCTTTCTTTTTTCATTCGTTTTCTTTTTCTTTTTCGTTTTCTTTCACTTTCTTTTTTCTTTTCGTTCTTTCTTTCTTTCGTTTTTCTTTCTTTCTTCTTTTTCTTTTCTTTCTTTTTTTTCGTTTTCTTTTTTTTTTTTTTCGTTTTTTTCTTTTTTTCTTTTTCTTTCTTTTTTCTTTTTTCTTTTTTCTTTTTTTTTTTCTTTTTCGTTTTCTTTCTTTCTTTTTTTTCGTTTTTCTTTCTTTCTTTCTTTTTCGTTTTTTTCTTTTTTTGTTTTTTGTTTTTTTTTTTTTTTTCATTTCTTTTTCTTTCTTTCTTTTTTCTTTTCTTTCTTTCTTTCTTCTTTTTTTTCTTTTCTTTCTTTTTTCTTTTTCGTTTTCTTTCTTTCTTTCTTTTTTTTTTTCTTTCTTTCTTTTTTTTTTTTCATCTTTTTTTCTTTCTTTTTTTTTCTTTCTTTTTTTTCTTTTTTCGTTTTCTTTCTTTTTCTTTTTTTTTTTCTTTCTTTCTTTCTTTTTCTTTTTCTTTCTTTTTCTTTTTCGTTTTCTTTCTTTTTTCTTTCTTTCGTTTTTTTTTTTCTTTTTTTCTTTTTTCTTTTTTCTTTTTTTTTCTTTCTTTTTCTTTTTTTTTCTTTCTTTCTTCTTTTTTTTTTTTCTTTTTCTTTTTCTTTTTTTTTTTTTTTTCTTCTTTTTCGTTCTTTCTTTCGTTCTTTTTTTTTCGTTTTTCTTTTTTTTTTCGTTTTTCTTTTTTCTTTCTTTCTTCTTTTTCGTTTTCTTTTTTTTTTTTTTTCTTTTTCTTTCTTTCTTTTCTTTCTTTCTTTTTTTTTTCTTTCTTCTTTTTTTTTTTTCTTTCTTTCTTCTTTTTTTTCTTTTTTTCTTTTTCTTTTCTTTCTTTCTTTTTTTTTTTTCTTTCTTTCTTCTTTTTTCGTTTTCTTTCTTTCTTCTTTTTTTTTTCTTTCTTTCTTTCTTTTTTTTTTTTTTCTTTTTTCTTTTTTTTTTTCGTTCTTTCTTTTTTTTCGTTTTTCTTTCGTTTCTTTCTTTTTTCTTTCTTTCTTTCTTTCATTGTTTTTTCTTTTTTTCTTTCTTTCATTCTTTTTTCTTTCTTTTTCTTTCTTTTTTCGTTTTTCTTTCTTTCTTTTTTTTCTTTTCTTTTCTTTCTTTCTTTCTTTTTTCATTCGTTTTTTCTTTTTCTTTTCCCTCTCACTTTCTGTTCTTTCTTTCTGTTCATTTTTCTTTTTTCTTTCTTTCTTTCTTTCTTTCTTTCATTCGTTTTTCTTTCTTTTTCCCTCTCACTTTCGTTCTTTCTTTCGTTCGTTCTTTCTTTCGTTTCTTTCTTTCTTTCTTTCTTTCTTTCATTCGTTTTTCTTTCTTTTTCCCTCTCACTTTCGCTCTTTCTTTGGTTCGTTCTTTCTTTCTTTCTTTCTTTCTTTCTTTCTTTCTTTCTTTCTTTCCATCGTGTCCACTTCTTTTTTGTTTGTTTGTTTGTTTCTTTCTTTCTTTCTTTATTTCCCTCCCTTCCACTTCTTCTCTGCTTTTATTTCTTTCTCTCTTTCTTTCTTCCTTTTGTATGTTTGCTTCTTTCTTTCTTCTCATCGCGTCCACTTCTTTTCTGCTTCATGCTTTCTTTTTCTTTCTTTCTTTCTTTCTTTCTTTCTTTCTTTCTTTTTTCTTTCTTTCCATCGCATTCGCCTCTTTTTCTGCTTATTTTTTCTATCTCTCTTTCTTTCTTCCTTTTGTTTGCTTATTTTTTCTTTTTTTTCTTTCTTTCTTCTCATCGCGCCCACTTCTTTTCTGCTTCATGCTTTCTTTCTTTCTTTCTTTCTTTCTTTCTTTCTTTCTTTTCATCGCGTCCACTTCTTTTTTGCTTCATGATTTCTTTCTTGCTTTCTTTTACTTATTTTTTTTTCTTTTTCTATTGAATATCATTCAGTTTTGAGTGATTTAATACAGTCTAATTGGATCATAATCTGCCCCACTGTGAATCTATGCTTTTGCTGCCCCATTGACCTTTGACACATACTTTCCTTTTTTTCTATCATTATTTCGGCATTTATTTATTTTTTGTCCCGATAGTATTTTCTGCATGTTTTTTTTTTCAAATCTTCTTTCGTCTTCCGTTTCGACTTGTTCCGTTTTGGATTTTTATAATTGTCCTTATTTCTTACCGAAATTCTTTGAGTTTATCTTTGCCTTCATTTCCTTCCTCTATTGTCTTCTTTCTTTCTTTCTTTCTTTCTTTCTTTCTTTTGTTTGCTTCTTTCTTTCTTTCTTTCTTTTGTTTGCTTCTTTCTTTCTTTCTTTCTTTATTTCTGTTATTTCTGTTTGGAGGAAAATTACTTCACGCCCTCTCGCTTCTATTGTGTGTGGGTCAAGGACTTCCTTTCGTAACTAGACACTCCTTAAATACCCTTCTCAGCAATTCTTGCCTTCCTTTCTTTTTTCATTTTTGATTAGTTTTACGAACTTTCGTACCAACCTCTCCCTGGGGATCAAGTGGTAGCAAGTAATCAGAAATTAATCCGCACTTTCTTCAACCTCCTCTTGCATTGCAACAATACTCCGTTGTTTCAAGCAGTTTACTTCTTCCACGGATATATTATTGTATTGATTAGTGGGACTGTTCCAAGTACTCCAATAATGATGTAGAAAATCATCATTTCCGTGTTTCACAATTGTTTTATTTTACTGACAAATGTTTATCATTTATACTAACGTTCACTCAAAATAAGGCTCGAGAACTACACAAGGTAGAGTTATAATATTAGCCGTTTTCCAAGAAGAACAACTGGCACAGAGTCTCACCTGGGCTCATGATGATACTTATTAGTCTCCAGCGAACTGACTGACGTGTTTCAAATAGTAATTGTAATATTAGCCGTTTCCCTATAAGGAATCATTTGGTAGTCATTGACTTTGCAACCAGTAGAACTTTCGGTTGGGATTTATAAAATCTTTCTCTTAAAAAAAATTTCTTAAGAAAATAGATTTATCAAATTCAGTAGCTATTATCTCTGTTACCAGTATCGTTTCCATCCTAACCTTTTGTTTGAAGTAGTGTGGAATGTCAACATCTTGATTATGTTATTATTTTCTCTTCTCAAGCCCAGTAGCTGTTATCACTGTTTCCAGTATTGATGGAGGTTTCCTTCCTAACCTTTTGTTTGAAGTAGTTTGGAATGTCAACATTTTGATTATGTTATTATTTTCTCTTCCAGTTACAAGTGGCATCCACTTTAGTTGTTGCTGCTCTTGATAGTCTTCAACTGGTGTGGTTTCTGTTATTCGGTACAGTTCTTTGTGATTCTGTAGAGCCAGATCGCAATGTTCAAAGATGGATATTCTTTGCTACGACTCACAGGCTTTACTTACTCATAATCTTTTTCCAAACATGATCTCAGGAAGCGGTTGTATACAACTGACAGTTTAGATATTTCTGAACGGGTTTGGCACCATGCATGACATCCAGATAAATGTCTCGATCTGATGAGGCTATTTAAGAACATGACTCTAATTTTCAGGTTGATGTTTTGGCTTTGAAGCAATTAGCGGTGTTGGACGAATCTACTTCCTGAACGCCATATTCAATTTCTTTTCCTCTTATACTTAATTTCTTATAGCTGATCCATACGCCGAAGTATCTGGAATTTTTAGGATTTACTATTCTAAACCCTGAATTTTTTTTATCACGGCTTCAGTCTAAGTCTCATCAGTTCATTCATTCAATTTCCAGATCATAATTTCTGATTTGAAAAGATTTAAGTCTCGTCTCTTGGAACACGTGATAAAGGATGCTTATTTTCTGCTGTGGATTATCCTTATACCAACTGTGAATACCTATGTCATCAGCAACAAACCTCTATCCTCCGCATCAGTACGTTGGTCTCGGGAGGGAAAGTAGGGCTATGGTCCTCTATCATTTGGAATGCAGTATGGAATGCTTAGATGACCAATATTCATCAGATCTGTGTTTGTAAACGCGCAGGACATAGTCTAGGAAGAAATTAAATAGTCTGAGTCTCTCATTTCCTCTTTGTCGTACTCCTGATGTGGTTTGAAATGTTTCTATATTATGGTCATTGACAGACGGTCCACGACATTTAGCTTGACGTGCCTTTACCGATTTGGCCACAGAGGAGCGTTCGTTTAGCAAGGTCGAATTTGCTGCTTTTAAATTTCAATCTTCCATGGATCTCTCACGTACATCCATATCTGCTCATGGCGTATCAAATGTAAACAAATGACATCACACATTATGAAATGGATAAAGTCCGACAATTATTTTAAAGGCACGTCAAGCTAAATGACGGTTCCGTATAGGATACAGGCTCGAATCCTGTCGGAGGACGAATATTTTCTGTGAAAATTTCTCGGACATTCAGCCCGGTAAATGTTGTCTAATAATGTTTATTATAAACAGAGCATTTGCTTAAATATTTGTATCTACAAAAATCAATATATAAACATAAAAGAATGTCTTAAAATAATTGTCGGACTTTGTCCATTTCATAACACACACACACACACACACATACATGCATATATATATATATATATATATATATATATATATATATATATGTGTGTGTGTGCATATATAACTGGAGGGTTGATTGTCAATCAATACAATTTATTTAAGACTGATTCATGTTTTTTATTTAACATTTTATCGTGTGTCAAATATAGGCGCGTGTGTGTTTGTATCAGAGAGAGATGGAGAAAAAGTGAGAGATTGTGTGAAAGTTAGAGTGAGAGATTGCCAAAAGAATTTTTTCCCCATTCATGTTAGATATTGAGAATTGAACTCTGCCAAAAAAATGACCCCAGAAGATAAAAAAAAACAAATGAACGACTTTGATGACGTACAAGAAGACGCTATTTACATTTTGTTTTACAGTAGAATAAAGTTACTGCAAATACAAGTACTTGTCTATATTATATAAGTAAACTTTGCCTACAAACCTGCCTTATTTACTTTTAATATTACCGTATTAGGCATTAAACAAACTAAAATAAAAGTGGATTGTGTCTGGGTAAAAGTTAGTCGCTCGTGTATTTCCATTTTATGTATAACATTTCTACATTTATATCTTCCATGAGAGTGCAATAGGTTCAGCCTAAGTATAGTTACTTTAATCTACAACCTCTGTGTAAATATTAAAAAAAACAGCTATCTCAACTTTGCTTGTAAGGTCCGGAGGAGCGTTTCTCAATCCATTTTGGGATATAAAAGATGCTCTTAAATTCCATTAGCTGCATGGCCCGGCGTTGTCCGTGCTTGATTCAGAAATCGTACGACTCATACAGCAATCGTTATCACTTGACTGAAAATATTTTTGCCCTTCCTTGCCTTTAAAAGGAGTGCCCTTTGCCGTGCTGATGTTGCTACATGCCTTACTTCTTGCCTATCTCACACTTTTTCTAAGCTCTATACTAAATATTAAATCTGTTACGAAAAAAGAACTAAACAAAATGAACACAAAACGATCAGCTTTAAAAAAAGGACTTGTAACTGGAAAAATCGAATGAAAAAAGAATGTTAATAACAAATACTTTTTCACACCCAACCCAGTTCTGCGGAATCAGAATCAACGTTGAGTTTATGCAAGCAAATGAGCCAATTGGAGTAAAGTGCCATGCAGATTTAAATTTTTCCCACTTGTGACGAATGCAGCTATAGATTTTTTTTTTTGAAAAACTACCGTAGAAAATGAAAAATCGATTATTTCCACTATTGGTGGGAGTTGGGAAATGCAAAGTCGGTCTTGATCTTCCCGCTAACTTGGAGCATGTAGATTTTGGTGCATATCCGTCGAAAATTGCGGCCGTGCATTCGTTACAAACACACACACACACACACACACACGTCCTGCCTTTTATAGATAGAGATTAATGATGATACAAGTTAGAATCTTTCTGTAGGAAGGCAATAAAGCCACTAAGGAGCCAGGACTAAAAGAATATTAGGAAAGGAAAAGCATGTTGCAGTTTTTTGTGTATACATGCTTACTAGTGAGCCAGTCAAAATGAGTTGACTCATTTTATAGTTCACCAATAAAAGGGTTAACCAATCAGAAAGCTCAAAATATTCAATGCGACGTGTATAAAGGCAGCCATTTTTTTCTTCCAAATTGTCGGCACTGCCAACCTGACAAAGAATTACTTAGCAACCGCTACGTTCTCTGAATCTTCACTGCTGACCTCTGATATCGAACAGCTTACGGACTTCACTGAATTCCATATTCAGAGACTGCGGCAAACATTGTCAACAAAGCATTGCAGAGAGAGAGGAAAATAAATGAAATGAAGAAGACAGAGGATAAAGATTGACATTGCATTTAAATTTTTGAAGATCAAATTTGTCTGGAAATCAAGAAGCCAGAAGCGAATTCCACAAGTGAGAAGTGCGAGAGAAGAAACTGTTTGCATAGATTTTACGTTTATATCTAACTATTTCAACTGTAAATCTATGAGACATTGCCGCCAATCTTGTGCTGCGCTTAAATTCAGAAAGTTTAGGTACCAAAGAGAAAAGCAATATCTATTTTGTGTAATAATACAAAAGTGTGGCACAAGGCCAAAAAGGGGGGATAGGGGAATTCTTGTCTTCAATTTGTTTTATCTTATATTTAGCTAGCAACGATTACTAACCCAAACATCCCACAGTATTCCTTACACCAGAACAACACATTCTTACGTAACATTCTCATACAGTCACCATAATACATCAGAGTCTCTATGAAGTCCTACAGAGTTCACATATATACAAAATTGTCTAGTGGTCTACAAACGAGAAGTGCGAGAGAAGAAACTGTTAGCATAGAACTTACGGCTATTTCAACTGTAAAAATATGATACCGTGCCGCTTAAATTCGTAAAGTTTCGGTATCAAAGGGGAAAGTATAATTTATTTTTTTAAATACAAAAATTGGAAATGGGATTAAAGAAATCTACTTGAAAATCCTTGTTTGGCACTACATGACCATTATATAGGAGTCAGTGTGCCATAAAACCACATTCACAATCCTAACTTTGGAGATGGGATTAAAGACTATGAGGATCTACTTGAAAATTCTTGTTTGACACTACATGACCATTATATAGGAGTCAGTGTGCCATAAAACCATATTCAGAATCAGAACCTTGGAGATGGGATTAAAGACTATGAGAATATACATGAAAATTCTTGTTTGACACTACATGACCATTATATAGTAGTCAGTGTGCCATAAAACCATATTCAGAATCAGAACCTTGGAGATAGGATTAAAGACTATGAGAATCTACTTGAAAATCCTTGTTTGGCAGTACATTACCATTATATAGGAGTCAGTGTGCCATAAAACCACATTCAGAATCAGAACCTTGGAGATGGGATTAAAGACTATGAGAATTTACATGAAAATTCTTGTTTGACACTCCATGACCATTATATAGGAGTCAGTGTGCCATAAAACCATATTCAGAATCAGAACCTTGGAGATGGGATTAAAGACTATGAGAATCTACTTGAAATCCTTGTTTGGCAGTACATGACCATTATATAGGAGTCAATGTGCCATAAAACACATTCAGAATCAGAACCTTGGAGTTGGGATTAAAGACTATGAGAATCCACATGAAAATCCTTGTTTGACAGTACATGACACTTATATAAGAGTTAGTGTGTCATAAAACACATTCAGAATCAGAAACTTGGAGATAGGATTAAAGACTATGAGAATCTACATGAAAATCCTTGTTTGGCACTACATGACCATTATATAGGAGTCAGTGTGTCATAAAACACATTTAGTATCAGAACATTGGAGATGGGATAAATGACTATGAGAATCTACATGAAAATCCTTGTTTGACACTACATGACCATTATATAGGAGTCATTGTGCCATAAAACCACATTCAGAATCAGAACCTTGGAGATGGGATTAAAGACTATGAGAATCTACTTGAAAATCCTTGTTTGGCTGTACATGACCATTATATAGGAGTCAGTGTGCCATAAAACCATATTCTGAATGAGAACCTTGGAGATGGGATTAAAGACTATGAGAATCTACTTGAAAATCCTTGTTTGACACTACATGACCATTATATAGGAGTCAGTGTGCCATAAAACCGCATTCAGAATCAGAACCTTGGAGATGGGATTAAAGACTATGAGAATCTACATGAAAATCCTTGTTTGACACTACATGACCATTATATAGGAGTCAGTGTGCCATAAAACCACATTCAGAATCAGAACCTTGGAGATGGGATTAAAGACTATGAGAATCTACTTGAAAATCCTTGTTTGGCTGTACATGACCATTATATAGGAGTCAATGTGCCATAAAAGCACATTCAGAATCAGATCCATTTTGTTCGAATAATGCATTAACTGTTAATTAATGTTAATGATTTTTTTTGCCCTCAAAGCCTGTCATATATTTGAATCTCTACTCTCTAAATAACCCTGAAGCTGATTGCAGTTTGTTCCTCTTAGGTTTTGCACTTGCGAAATGTACTGAAATTTCTTCGATGAATTTCCTTTGCATTAGTATGTGCTTACCTTCCATTTATTAATAACGATTTTAGAATTTTCCAAATTACCCTTAAGTAGATAGATGCCAAATATTTTCCCCTTTCAGTTCTAACGTCATGCCTGAGTCTCGTCCAGACTAAAATTAGGTTATGCTCGGACACATACGGCATTGTCATGCAACCCCCAACCCATATTTGCCCGTGCGTGTGAGTGGCTCTATTTTTTGTTTTATTTGGGGGAAAACTCCAAATTGTAATGTATCATGGTCGAAATTATATACTAAACTAAATAAAGTGTCCAAATATATGATATTTATAGGTTTGTAGCAATCCTCATAGAAAATTATTAGTGAATTTATGATGCTATATAAATTTAAGGCACGATGGAATAGTGAATACAACCTATGATGGCTGAGCCGATTTCGAAATTCCTTTTCATTCCATTCATTTACGGAAAGGTATGAATCCATCGTTTACCCTAACACTATGTCGAAATGGCACGGCAACTTTCATAAAATTATTTGTTGACTAGTCTACGAGCAATAAAACTCTGAATTCAAACAATTCCGGAAATGGTTGGGTTCTGCCAGCATATTCTGCCCAAGACACACCCCTGCTACCATGGCTTCATTACATGTGCCGTCCCTACAACATTAATGCATCACTCATAGGAAATACCGGAAGATAGGAAGGCAAGAAAAAACAGCGAGCAATCGATGTAGTATGTGATTCACGCTTGAGCTAAGAAGAGTTTATCTGAGGTGACTCAAATATGTATAGGTTTCTGCCTAAGTGATACCGAAGTATGTCAGGCACTTTATATAATCTTAGCATTTTAAAAGACCTAGGTGTTTCGAATGTTGAACTTAAAAGTGTCCTCAAAGCCACCAGGTGCGGAATCGAACATGAAATGGTTTCGGTAGATGCACCAACATAATCAGGGTGGGGAACCAGCTGAAGACAAAGATATACACACGAATCGCAAGAAAGAATTTCGATAAACTCCCGTGAGGCGAAAGCAGATATAGAGAGACAAAGACATGAAGGTCCAATCATCTGAAGAAGGCAAAAGCGTACTACGGCCGAAATGTTGTAAACATGAAAGTGAAGACTAGCATAACAGTCCGAATAATGTAAATAATGCAAGGTAGCGTAAAATAATTCTTTATTCCCTTCCGAAATAAAATTAACGTCGATCTGTGAAGGGCGTATGGTTTCGGTCGTTGTACGCTCCGGCCTTCTGCAGGTGATTGGAATTTCGAACCGAATCTTTTATTTCGTCCACCGGGGGTAGATTGTTCTAGTTCCACATATCATGCCTCTTCCGTACGTCTCAGTTATTTCCCCTTTAACTCAACTCTCCATGTTTTGGTTCACTACTGCTGTGGCCTGGTATTGAACTCACCACTTTTGGGATCTAACCAACATCTTTATCCACTGGGCCATGTGTTCTTGAGGACAAAATAAAGGGTTCGGTTCTAAATTCCAATCATCTGAAGAAGGCCGGAGCGTACAACGACCGAAACGTTGTGAATATGTCAATGAAGATGAGGGTAACAGTCCAAATAATGCAAATAATTCAAGTCATCATAATTAATCTCAGAGATATAGACAGAGTCTATTTTAATATGTCATATAGAAGAATATGAGTGAGAAACTGCTTATGATAAGCCGGAACGTACGATTCATGAAGATTTTCCAAGAACAGGCAATTGAGTTGGACAAATGTCAAGCGTGCATTTAGGAAAAATCATTGATCCAGCAAGACAGCAATTTACATGTTATGGCTGTGGCAGAGTATGATGGGTGTGGCAGAGTTATCTCCAAGAAGTGTCCTATTGGTAGGATGAATTACAATCCATACTATTCTGAAAATAACATGCAGCGTGTGTGAACCTGCAGAATATGCTTCGATCCCACCTATCATATTAAACACGAGCGAGCTGAACAGAAGTTACAAAACAGGCCAGGTCCTGTACAGAACAGTTTAGGATGGCACATCTGCAATAATCTTTACAAGTTACTTACTGGCTTCAGTAGACTTTGTCGTTCGTACGAGAACTTCAATCATTGATCAAAATTGGTCATATTTTTTTTAGCGAGTATCTATCTATCTATCTATCTATCTAACTATCTATCTATCTATCTTAGTCTGTTTGCATTTGTTTATTCTGCACAGCATCTACTCGTACAATGTACTATTCAGATGATTATCATATCAGGTTTCCAAAAGGACAATATATAAATAAACCTACTGAGACATTATGTTTGAGCGGAGATGATTCCCACATAAGTCTCAGGAGTGATAATTCTCACGAGAGTCAGTCAATGAGAATCCACGAGACTTATCGCCAAGTGATAAACAATAATTGGGAAGACATACCACAACAATTCTACAGTGATAAACGTCTGTACACCTACAGTAAAATAACAATGGCATAATAATACCTCTCACCCTCTCATCTATCTATCTATATCTATCTATATATATATATATATATATATATATATATATATATATATATATATATAGATACACCTAGTGAGCCAGACAAACCTACCAGTTTCACCTAAACGGATCGTCAGGAATTCCCTGACGATCCGTTTAGGTGAAAACGTAGGTAGGTCTAACTGGCTCACTAAATGTATCTAGGTCTGCTCTACGGTTGTATTGAGCTCTTTTGTTAGTTAGTTGTTACTCGTATCGGGGTTTTTCTTTGGGCTTCAGACCTGCATCTGTGCGATTTTTTGTCGGCAGAAGTTCATGTTTGTAGCTCTTTCTTTTTTTAAAACCTTTTTTCCCTCGAGATTGATTTGATTAGCAAATCAAAATTCGAGGGTTTTCAAACGAGTCTATATATATATATATATATATATATATATATATATATATATATATATATATATATATATATATGATTGAAGAAATTTTTACATTAAACTGCTAATTTTTAATAAATCTCAAATAACTCTTCAAATAACCTTACGTATTAATGTTAAAGGATGAGAAATGTGTTATGCTGTTTAAATTTCTTTTATTTTCATTTCCCAAGTACTTTCGATCTTCTTCCAAGATCATCTTCAGGGCTGCAAGTAGTACAAAACTATATGTTGTTCATTAGTATAAGTATTTATATAAAGATGTGCGTTATTTTCCATTACTGTAATTTTTTCATTATGCTTTTAAATGTAAAACGGTTGACAATGTGCTGAGCGTTCATGAGAACGTAAAAAAATCCATTATGGAAAGTACTTGGGAAAATAAAATAAATTTAAACAGCTGTAGCCCATTTCTCACATCCTTTAACATCAATGCATGTAGGTTATTCGTGAGTATGAACGGATGTTGTTAAAAATTAGCAAACATAATGTCTGTAATTTATTCATTCAGTCATGCCTAAAAGAGAATTTGCTGCCTAAATCCACAAATATATAGAGACATGTGTGTGTGTGCGTGTGCGTGTGCGTATGCGAGTTCGAGTGGTGTGTTTATGTTTGTCTATTTCCACCAGTTCGTATCTATCGATCGATATATATATATATATATATATATATATATATATATATATATATATATATATATATATATATATATTATTTACTTTTTTACTAGACATAACTCCATATCTTTCTCTCCGGTTCTCTGTCTCTTTATTTCCTCATATTAAAACTTTAAAATCTACACCTTCCCATCTTATTCCTGAAAAAAAAATCTACTTAATTTTTTTTTTCACTTGTGCCTGGATAAATTTAAAATTCGTTTATTGCTGTAAAATTGTTTGATGTGATGAGACGAGATCGATTTAATCTCGCGAAATAAAATACCATGGATTTCTAAAATTGTTGTGAAATAGTTTCACAGTGGAGGCTTGTATTTGTACTAAGTCGGTCCTAAAATAGGTTCGACGGACAAAACGTTAGGAACTTCATATAATAGGTAATGACGCAGAGAAATCTAGTTGTGGTCGCTGATACTTTTAGTATCTGACTAACGGTCGTCCGACATCGACTAACTGACCGAACCCTGAGCGACTCCTACTACTACTACTCATTACAGGTGGGAGAGCCTATTAACAATAGAATAGGTGTGTTCCACTATAACAAAAATATCCGCTTTCATCATTATATATATATATATATATATATATATACTCTCGACTCTCCCGTCGACTCGACGTATGGGGGTCAAGCTGATCGATTCCACGGAAACCGACAGCCCGACAACAGCACATGAGATTTGATTATACTGGTGAAGGTTTCGTGCAGGACCATCCACACTTTTTGAGAGAGAGAGAGAGAGAGAGAGAGAGAGAGAGAGAGAAATTGTCTCCGCGCGATTTGTGGCTATACTTTTGACGATAGATTGTCCAATGGTGATCTCGCAAAATATAAGATTAGTGGAATTGAGAATTTCCTGAAGCAAAATGGAACATAGCTGGAATTCGAGTAGGCGTTTTTCAATTTTAAAACAGCATTATTTACGCTGCTAAATAAGGTGAGATTAACACTAGGTACCAGATGTTGTATGTAGTGTAATTCTCTCTCATATATAATAATAACAAACTCAATTTTGACGTTTGCAGAAAGGCTAATAACAAAAATGACCTGATCAGTTTCTACTCAAATCACTCTTCTAAAATCAAATCTAGAATTATTAAAGGTTTCTATCTGAGAGAATTTAGAATCTGCAGACCCCAATATTTACATAAAGAAGAAACATATATAGAAAACACATTAAAAAACCTACAATATCCATATCATTTCATCCACAACGCAAAAAGAAAGGCATACAAAATATACAACTGAAACAAAATTAATAACATAATCCGCAATAGTAAATTATGTGAAAACAGATGCATAATTCTACCGACCAACTCTGTCACGTCCACTATCCAGAACAAGCAATCGAATGTAAATAATCTTAAAATAATCACAAACAATTCCAAAACCATTATGGATTTACTCAAATCGTCAAACACTAATAGCAATAATATTTCTGAAGCAGGCATTTATAAAATAAATTGCCAAAACTGTTTCTCCCAATATATTGGAGAAACAAGCAGAAATTTAAAAAAATAAACGCATTTATGAGTACAAAAGTGACCTCATAAAAAACAACTTAGCTAATGCACTAGTCATACATTGAAATAAATTCCACAATTTTGATTTTAAAAATGCTACACTCATAAAAAAAGAAAATAACTCACTCAGAAGGAAAATCCTCGGGAGTGCCGCCATTGAATATTATCCAAATATTAATCTACGCCCAGGCTTTTTCCCTATTTCACCTTTCTTAACAAAATTACTACTCTCTCAAACAAACGTACACAATTGTATCAAGAAATCAAAAGAAAATGGTTGAATCCGTCAACACAACAATAAAAACAATATTTCCACACGTGACAGTAATTGACGTAATTTTCAGTTGACAATATAAATACAATAGCGTTTTCTAAATTCTTCCAGTTGGTAAGGACATTTTGTTTTGTTGTTAATAGTTACTTTGTTTTTAATAAATTCATTTCGTTTTCACTTTGAAAAAGTTCACATTGGATGAAACGCGTTGGCTAAGAATACAGTTTTCCTAATGTCAGTTACCTTTATATATAGAACAAGCGTGTTCGATGGAAAGATTACACGTCGGTCGCCATCGGGGGCGAGAGTCTGCACACGCATTCGTTGCAATCGAGATTGCTACTCCTGTATGAGCCTATACAGCCATAACAGATGCAGCGCTGTCATCAGTTGTTGAGGCATAACTATTTGGGCCCAGATCCATGGTCTTAGTTTGGTTTGGTTTGTTTTACGGCATATCAACCTGAATGTAGTAAATTTGTTTTACAAATATGTATTGCTGTACACTATTTACATTATTCGGACTATTGTCCTCATCTTTGTGTCGCCATATTTCGGCTGTTGTACGCCCCGGCCTTCTTCAGGTGGTTGAAATGTCGAATTGAACCCTTTATTTCGCTCACTGGGGTAGACTGTTCTAGTTCCATGTGTCATGTTTAACGGGTGTCAGTTATCAGTTATCGCCTGTTAATTCCCCTCTCCAAGTTCTCCACTGCCTTAACCGGGTATTGAACTCACACTCTTTGGGTCCTGTCACTCGATCTAATTAACGCCTTTATGAACTGCACTATGTGTCCTTGAAGCCGGAGCATACAATGGCCGAAAGGTTGTAATAAAGATGGCAACAAGGATGAGGACAATAGTCCGAACAATGTAAATAGTGTAAATAATACCTCATCTCAGAAATATAAAGGCCGAAACATTGTAATAAAGATGGCAACAAAGATGAGGATAATAGTCCGAATAATGTAAATAGTGTACATAATACCTCATCTCAGAAATATAGACAGATACTATGTATTACTGGTGTTAAAACCTATTTTTACACTTTCATAGTGCTTTGAACTTTTTTTAGGGGATTAAATATTTGTTCATATCTGGGACCCTAACAGGTGCTACCACTCCGTATTAGGGTGGATCTGGAAACACCAGCAATTAAGAGTTGGTTCAACTTTCCTCAAAATCTCCTGATCAGAGGCCTTGCTGTAGGATGTTGTTTATCGTCTTACCCAGGACGTTCCATGGTCTCTCGAGACCAATAGATGCCGCATACAGATATTGACACTTATTACGCTATTTGACAAATAGGTACAGTGTTTAATTTCATTGAGCTTAAATTCTTCGCTTTTATCCAGGCTTGACAGTGAATTCGCCGGGTCGTAGGTTTTAGAAAGTGTCCTTCTCTTAACTAATGGTTAGGAAAAAAACTGGAGTCCAAGACACCCAGGATAATTGTGCTAGATGTTCGTTAAACAAAAAGCTTCCTCCACCCTTTTGACAGGTCTTGTATTTAATCCAGCTGGGTGACTAGCCACACTCCTTACAGACAAACTCTGTGGGTGTACCGGTTTAGTCGCCGATAATCCGACTATGAAACAGGTTGTACTGGCTGACATAAAACCAGTAGCGCTAGAAGTGACCTGACTATATAGAGCCGGACTTTCAGCCTCAGCTCCTGTGACCGTATTTTGCCTGTCCCGCACTGGACTTATCAGTCACAAACGTGCCTGCAAGCAACGTGTAGAGACCCCCTCTTTGTGAAGCCAAGTCTTGATAATGATCCAGGCTTGAACAATAATCAACGGAAAAGAGACAACTATCTTAGCCAAAAGGTAGCTTCTTCTACCTCGTTTTCTTTCTCTCTTTTTCCTTCTTTTCCCTCGCTATATTTCTCCACTGAACTCCTCATCCCTTCCTCTCCCCCTCTTCCTCTCCCCCTTCCTATATGTTTGAATTAATATATGTCAGTCTGACAATTGTAATTAATCTGGCAGTACTTGGAGGAAAAGCAAGAGGCGTTCAAAATGTTCCTTCTCTCACCGCCCCCCTCCCCATCAAGCCATTGCCCAGCTTTAATTCATATCACATGTTTTCCATGGCTTCTAAAAATATACTTGTTTTGTTTTCATTTACCTACATACTTATCTTTAATAATTAACTTTCTTTTGATGTAATGGGAAAGACTTTTAGCCTCAGCTTCGCCTCCCCACTCTTAATTGTAACGGAGCCAACACGGATTTAGAACCGGGCAACGTTTGCACACTTCGATAAATAGAGAAGAAATTGTGATCTTTAATCTGAAAGATCTTTATGATTAATTTGCGTTGATCGGCTTTAAGGCCAGCATTTGGTATCAGTGGGGTCGTCTGCGTCGGCATTTTGCTAACAGAAATAAATTCTTGAATCCAAGTGTGAACGAAAGACCAGAAGTCCTTTTCTGGCTAAAATAAATCAACTTAATTAATTGGGTAAAAAAAAATCTCCTTTATGGTCACCTTATTCCTTAAAAAAAAAAAAGAAATTTCTAAGGCTATCAAAATGAATACATCTACAAGTTTATAAAAATTAAATACACGAGGTCTAACTGAAAAGTCGCTGCATTTACTTAAATCGAGAAACTGTTGAATGGGAAAAAAAAACCTGAAATGGAAAAACAGTTGAACAGAATGTGGCATAAGTTTGAATTAAAAGTGAATTTCGCTGTGTGATGGTTCAGAGTCCCAATCTAGTCTAGACTCCCTGCCACCTCAACTTGCAGAGATGCCTCAAGCATTTGCTAATGATCCACGTTCCCTCATTGTCTAAGGAGACAAGTTCATTGAGACGAGATTTAAATTGACCTTTTTTATTATTTTTAATCTCACGGCAAATAAACCCGATTATTTAGTGAAGTTAGGAATTAAAATGAAATATTTATTTTTATAAACAATGTAAATTTATATATATATATATATATATATATATATATATATATATATATATATATATATATATAATATATATAAATTTGCTTTGTTTAAAAAAAATAAATATATAATGTATATATATATATATATATATATATATATATATATATATATATATATATATATATATTGACCACTAATATTATCAATATATATATATATATATATATATATATATATATATATATATATATATATGTATGTATGTACATTTGTATATATAGATAGATAGATAGATAGATAGATAGATAGATAGATAGATGAATGATAGATGAATAGATGATCACACGCAAATACACACACATACACACATGTTAAGATGAAATTCATCAAGAGGGTACTTTCTATCTTTTTCAAGGTCATCTTCGGGGTTAAATTACAAAGACAAACTTATTTTAACTGCAATAAAATCTGTATTTCACTGTGATGGTGATTTTTAAGAAACACGATCGAACGAGCTCTGTAATTATATTAGAATTTTAAATTTATCCGTCATATGCACACACATTATATATATATATATATATATATATATATATATATATATATATATATATATATGGTGCTCGGTAAAAATGGCAGGTAAAATGGCAACGGTAAAAAATGGCAAAAGTGGATAAATAGGAAAAAATCGAGTATATATTTGACATTCCAATCTATATAATTTCTGTCTGAAAGACACCAGAATATGTTACTGTAAGTAATAAATTTAATGCTTTAGCTTTCACTTAATAACAACATATTGAGACAAAACTTTGTTTTTGTTGATTTATGAGCCTTTTTTAATCGTGATATGCTGCTTTTTTTACGTGACCTAATGGAGGAACATATATATATATATATATATATATATATATATATATATATATATATAAAATAAGTGTATTAGTGTATATATATATATATATATATATATATATATATATATATATATATATATATATATATATTAGTGTTGGGACGATTAATCGGAATCGGAAAAATCGCAAAGGCGAAGGTTGGGAATCCCATTGACAGATTTCGTATTGACTCTCAGAGTCTAATTTAATTATTTTATTGGTAAATTATGGTAAACGAAGTAAATATTCTAGAGTTCACTTAGCCTATTCCCTCAGCAAACCTTTTGAATTTCTGTTCACACCATTTTTCTACATGTCTATATGACGCCTCTCAGAGACTTCACACTTGAGTATTAAAAGATTGAAAACGCATCAGACAAGATTTTAAATTTTACTGGCACCAGTCTCACCCTGTCGTTGTCTGATAACCTCTGAAATAATTAAGGTTTTATTGTTTTATTTTTGGGGTGGGGGTTTCGGTTTCATCAAGTGGACCTATAATTGTTTTTTCCCCAAGTTTTTCAGTGTGTTCAGACGTAATCGCCTAAAAAATAATATCTCATGGGAGGGGGGTAGCTGAATATGCTTTTTAATTTGACAAACTTCTCATGTTTTTCCATTATGTATTGTATCCAAGATTTTAATAAACTCGTTCTAAGATATTCATCTATATTTTTTTCCTTTTGTCATTTTTTCTTATTTATCCATTTTTGCCATTTTTACCTATTTATCCACTTTTGCCATTTTTTCCGTTGCCATTTTTTCCGTTGCCATTTTTACCGCTGCCATTTTTACCTAAATTCATATATATATATATATGTAAGTGGACACTGAGTTCAACACCAAGTGGTGACAGTCTTTCTCATGCATGAATGCAATCTTCAAGTATGAACTAGACTGTCGCCATTTGATTTTGATATCAGTGGCCACGTTTACATATCTACATGCTCTATCCTTGAAATTGAAAACTTTTTAACCATAGATATAACATGGCTTAAAACAATATTTTTATCATATATGTGTGTATGTGTGTTTGTGATGTTTATATTTGATGTGAAGATATCCTGTATAGTATGTTCTTGAAAACCATTTTTATAATCATTTCACCTGAAGCAAGGTGATAATGCCACTAAGACGCAGGGGTAACTGAGATTGAAAGAGAATGAGAAAACCTTAGAGAGCGACAATAAAAAAAATAATTCAGGAAAATGGTCATTGGTGTTGCTTTTAAATATTTGAAAATCGTATTTGACAGGGAAGTAAGAAAGCAAAAGAAAAATGTAAAAAAAGAATCTATTAGAATAGAACTTACGGTTGCACCTAGTTATTTCAACATTAAAACGATGAGACCTAACTGCCAATCTAGTATTACGTTTAAATTAATGTAGTCGAGGCACCAAGGAAGAGAGCGATATTTATTCCCGTTTCGAATATAGAAAATTTGGCACAAGGCCAAAAAGGGGATTGGGGGAAAAGGACAGTCTTCTTCTGCCTTAACTTTAAACTTAGCTAGTCACAAACACTGACCTAAACATACCATAATATTCCTAACGCAACAACAACCAAAATATTCCTAACGCAACAACATCATATTCTTACTTCTTTTCTTACTACATTCACCATAATACCTCATTGTCTCTATGAAAATCCTAACAATTCATTGTCTATGGGGGGAAGGAATAAAACAACCATTTTAAAAACTAGCCCCAATGAGTATTTACAATATGAGTACAAATCTATTTACAAGAAACTAAATAAAATAATGTTAGTAATAAAATCTCCATAATCCTTAAATGTGGCAGAAACATCAGTTAACTGGACGAAATCAATGCGGGACTACAATAATATAAAAACATTCATTCATCCCAAAGAGGAGAGCTCACCATAACAATTTTCCTGAAATTATAGAAAAAGACACATGGAAGTAACATCACGGTATTAAGAAAAATGGCTGAAGTCGAGAGGCCATCTCAGGACTGAAGACATTACACACCCTTGTCTGAATTTTGTCAAGTATCTATAGATATATAACTGGAACACCAGATCAGATATGGCAGCAATATTCAATGTACAGAATGGTAAATTTATAAATGTGCAAGATGGATTCTGGAGAGAAATATAGTCTGGCCTGAAATAGAGAACTAGCTTTCCGACCAGCAGACATAGCAAATTATTCAATTTATTCCACTTCATTTCCGGGGAAAACGTGAAACCAAGAAGACACAATACGTTGTTCTACTCGAATTTAGCATCAGCCATACTGATTGAGGATAACAAAATTGCTTGTTGAGTTTATTTTGTTTTACGGCATATCAACACCTCACTGGGCTATTTAATGCAGACAAGATTTTTATTGCTAGATTTTTCAGTTTTAATCGGGTCGATTGCGTCGGCATTTTGCTAGCAGGCATATATTCTTGAATCTGGGTGTAGTCAAAGATCAGAAGACCTTTTCTGACTAAAATCTTTTAACTTAATAAATTAGGTAAAAAAAAAATCTTCTTTATTGTTACCTAATTCCTTAAACATTGCTAAGGCTATCAAAATGAATAAACCTACAATATATATATATATATTAGTCATTAACAATGTAATTTCTAAAGTAAAAATTATTTGCAATGCACTTTTATGGTATAAAATACTTGTAAGGCAGAATTATAATAGAATTCATTAACAACGTAATTCCTATATTAAAATCATTGGCAACGTCATTCCTAAAATAAAAATCATTGTCAATGCATTTTTTATAGTAGAAAATATTTGTAAGCCAAAATTATAATAGAAATCATTGACAAATCTTACAAGAAAATCATTGACAACGAAATACTACACCATTGTGAAAATTAATTGAAACAACCGCTTTAGTTTACCTTTCTTTCACCATATGGTCAGTTTTAGACCCACTGGAATGACAGGGTGTAATTGAATCCTATTTTCTCCTCAGATTAGGTCATTCGCATTCATGTGCTGTAATATGAATCTATTTTCGGGGTCTATGATGAAATTTGTTTGGCCTTGAAAAATATTGCGTCATCCGTGATTGCATCAGATTTTTATCACGCCCAGACACCATTGTCTCGAGTGTCGATTAATTGTCCTACGGTCATTGTCTACCATGGACGTTACTCCAGGGAAGTTTACGAAAGTTGTAAC